CATAATACAATAGGTTAAAGAGAAGCCTTTATGTCCGAGTCCTTACAATAGCTGGAGTGTAAGAAACAGAAAGCCCAGAGGCTGTGAACGAACCGCCTGTCTTTGCATCGTCCGTCCCCTTTCAAGGCGAATTTGCGGATCCCCGTTGTCTAGATACCTTTTGTTCCTGCTAATCGCCGCGATGAGCCTGTAAACCGGTTCGGTTCCGTTCTTTTAGCGATCCGGTAGACCGCTTTGCGGAGACAGGGCGCAGCTATTTGCGACTAGGTCCGCTTTTTCCGGTTCGGGTTCACCGAGTACAATCTCCAGTGTCTCTCACCTGCCATGTCACGGTGTCCCCGCAGGTGGTCCTTTCGCTTTGCGCTGATGCTTCCGACGACAATACACCTGTTTAGTCGGAGAATTCGGCTCCGCCCCTGAAGGAGGCATCGCGATGCCGTCTCTGCTGCGGCTTCGCTCGCGCCGACGACATTCTCCGTTCTCCAATAATTCACGCGCGTCGGTGTCGGTGTCGCCGCAATTATAGCCGTGTTAGTTTCGTCCGCATTGCCACTGCCCGGATCGGATTAATCGTTCGCGGAGTTTCGGCGAGTTTAATCTTTCCCGTGCCGGTTTCCTCCACCCTCCCCCCGGCGCGCTTACTTTCCGCCCGTCTTTGCTCGGGGTTACTTTTTCCGGATCGCTGCTCCGCCAGAGCACGGAATTCGCCGCGGAATTTCCGTTAATAAATGTACAGCAACGCACGAGCAAGGTACCGCGAACATAAAGCAAACATAAAGCAAACATAAAGCGAAACATAACAAACATACGGCGAGCGTATAGCAAACATAACACAAATATACTGCAACATACAGGGACATAACGCAAATATACTGAAACATACAGCAATATTCGGGGTGTCCCAAAAATGTCTCGCAATCCGGACATGGGAGTTCCTGAGGTCATTTGAAGTAACTTTTTCCTCGGCGAAAATGCAATCCGCGGCTTCGTTTACGAGTTATTAACGAAAAACAGTGACCAATGAGAGGCGAGATCAGTTGGCGCGAGACGGCCCAGCCAATGAGCGGAACTAGGCTTTGTGCGCTCGTTGGATGGGCCGCCTTGCGCCAGCCGAACTGATCTTTCATTGGTCACTGTTTTTTTTATTAATAACTCGTAAACGAAGCAACTGATTGCATTTTCGCTAAGGAAAAAGTTACTTCAAATGACTTCAAGAATCCAATTCCCAGATTGCGAGACATTTTTGGGACACTCTGTATAGCGACATATAGCGAAATACAATGAAATACAGACAGCATAATGCAGCATGATTGAGCAACTCATCATAATGTACAGGAACATGGAGCAACATAAAGCAACTTATAGCAGGATACGACATCGTACAGTAACATAGAGCAACTTACAGCAAAATTGAGTAATATACAATGAGATATGTACAGCATGTGGTAGAATGATACTGCAAGATACGGTATTATACAGAAACATAGATTAACATAAAGCAATATATGAGTCGTTTATTTTGAAAGTGGCATAAGTCACTTTACCGTAATGAAAAGTGGTGATTTTTTAATGTTTATACGAAATTATTTATACTGAGAAAAATAGCAGTATCCTGAGATAACAAATACAAGTAAATCTCCTCGAAAGTTAGCATCCATATTTTTAAACGTGTTAAAACGCAAACCCTTAAATATATCGACTTAAAAACAAAGTGACTTATGCCACTTTCAAAATAAACGGCTCA